TGAGAACATACATCTGCAACGTGGTCTTCAAGGCTCTCTTGGAAGTGGGCTTCATTGTGGGCCAGTACGCCCTGTACGGGTTCCAGCTGAAGCCCCTCTACACTTGCAGCCGCTGGCCCTGCCCCAACACTGTCAACTGCTACATCTCCCGACCCACTGAGAAGACCATCTTCATCCTCTTCATGCTGGGGGTGGCCTGCGTGTCCCTGCTGCTCAACCTGGTGGAGATCTACCACCTGAGTCTCACCAAGTGCCGGAAGGGGCCAGGCACCAAGTCCCGCATCCTAACCATTTCTGGTGGCCCTGGAGGGCCTAGCAGCACCCATGTCACCCTGCCCAGGGGTGGCAGCCCCCCTCCGGGCCTGACACCCCTGAAGAAGGCAGGTGCATGGCTAGGGGTGGCTGGTGGGTCCCACAGGGAGATGCGAACGGCAGACCTGGCAGTGTGAACATGACCTGCTGGGATGGTCAGGGATGGGTGATGCACAGGTGGCCACAGTGGTGGTTCTGTCTCTGGGCCCTGCCAGGTTTGTGGCATGGACCCCATGGCCAGCACAAGAGATGGGAATGGCCTTGGGGACACAGCTCAGCTGTTTCTGGCACTTGTGGGAGCAGCAGGGCTGAGTAGAGCTGGGACTGGGAAGAATATAATAAACACTCACTGCACCTCACTTGACTTGTGCTCCGCCCATGGGCACCGTGGCATTGCTCTCCAACCAGTCCATCCTACGGACATACTGCATGGCCAGGGCAGGGCCACTGCTGGGTTGGGTTGGGCTGGGCTGCAGCCCTGTAGGCAGAGGACAGGCAGGGCATGTGAGGCTGGCACCAGCAGGCACAAGGTCAGGGATCATGCCAGCATGCTAGAGCTGGCAGGACAGGAGGGACCAAAGTAGGAAGTGCAGGCAGCACAGGCAGGCAGGGATGGACAGGAGCAAGGTGCAGAGAAACAGTGGAACACTGGCCCTGTTCTCCTGCAATGCTCCCCCTGCCCATGGAGGGAAACCAGGGGCTGCCAAAGGTTTTCCACATCTTTATTTGAAATGAATGGTTTCCAGAGACACAGGGTTAGTCCTACCGCCCTGGTATCACTACAACAAGACTGGTGAGCAGCTCACTCTCCACATGGACACAGAACAGATGGCCCCGGGCCAGGGCCCAGAACAATATATACAGGCTCAACAGGAGACCCATGTACAGCTCAAGAAAACTGACCAGAACACAAGGAGGGGTAGGAGGCATCAGCACAGTTGGAGGCAGACTTGCCCCAGGCAGGGCACTGCCAGCCTCCTGCTTTGAGAGGGAGGGGGAGGCCAGGCAGAACTCCTTGCTTCTGCCAGCAGCTGCCCAAGCCCCTGGCTGGAGGAGAGGTTCCCATTGATGGCACCTTGCACGGGGGAGGGGGCTTACACCAGGACAAGGGACGATGGGGGTCTCTTCTCGCAGGCATTTAGCAGTAGGACAAGAGGGCATACACTCAAGCTCTGCCAGGGGCGATTTAGGTTGGATCTTAGGAAGAGATTTTTTACA